TTTGACATCTCAATGGACTATTTGGAAAATATAAAATTCAATTTTAAGAGGGGGCCGATTTTACGGTTTAACGCCCTCCTTCCTTTGGGCAAATAATTTGCTATTTTTTTCTCTGGAGGACCTATCAAACAGCAAACTCGCCAACTATTCTCTCTGTTTATTGTGGTCAATACATAGCCATAGAAGAAATAGACATTTATAAATGGCATAAACAAAATGCATTCACAGCTAAAATGTATGATAATACTGGAACTTTGTATTCAAGTTCGGGTGATTTTTCTAAAGTGATGGAAAATTATTCAAAATCAATCGAATTTCAAATGTTACAATCGCCTGTTATTGATAAATGTACATTATCAGAGACAATGGATAATGTTGGGTTAATTCAATTCCATTTGGGAATGTATAATAAAGCTTTAAAAAGTTTTCAATCAAAGATATATCCAAGATTCAGAAATTAGAAATTCAAGGAAAATCAAAGAATTCAAAGTGTGCTGTGGTCAGACGTTTTGCCTTCATCCTCAAGAATACTATTTATGACAATAGAGACGAACTCGGCAATTGTCTTCGTTCATCTGGAAAAAAATAATCATAGCGCTATTTTGAAAAATACTATGGTGCTGTGAACAAAGGATACCTACTACATTGACGTATCATCTATCGAAAGACGAGTTGGAAAAATATATAGTTTAATTAGTAGAGCAGCCGATCAATTATCGGAAGAAGCAGGTTTCATTGTTGATCTAATCACATGATGATTTTTATTCGATCTTTTGCACTGAATTAGAGATGGGTAGCTCCAGCTCAGCTCCAGCTTTAGTGAGTTTTGAATCGTTCCGCTCCAGACCAGGAAATTTTGCTCCAGCTTCGTTACCGTACTGGCATCAATAAAAGAAAGTTGCCCCGACTCCGCTCCAGCTCCATTGCTCTTATAAATCGCTCCACTCCAACTTCGTTCCGACTCCGTAGTAGCGAAATATTATTTTGCTATTTTTTCTGCAGGCTTAAGATGTTCATTGAATTTTAAGTCTTCTTTCAACATATATACGCATAGCCCGAGTCGAACTTTTTTTTCCAAGCGCTTAACAAGACTTGAGCTCAAGATGTGTCCATAGCGCATGACTTTCTTGGTCAAGACAAGCATCTGAGTGATCGTATGAGTCATGCGCATGGTTGAAGAAGTCATGAGCTGAACTCAAAAAGTTACTAGTGCAAGTTTTTATTAAAATTTCAGTCATTTTGAACGTAGAACTAGAAAAAAACACTGAAAATATTTATTTAATATTCAAGCACGTAACATTTGCTGGCACAGACATTCAAGCGCATGAGCAAGAATATCAAGCGCTTTAGTTTTTCCTAATAGTCTCAAGTCTTGACTCAAGATGTGTCCATAGCGCATGACATTCAGGGTCAAGAAACTCAAGAATGTCATGTGCTTGCTAAAAAAAGTTCGACTAGGATGAACATAGAAAACAAACCAATTCTCAATATATTAAAGTTATCTTAATTACAAGATTAAGATTATTTACAAACACAAACAGGTTGATGAGCTAGAGCAAGTATCAATTGCAATTTGGCAAAGTTAACCCTTTGACGACAGAGGCTTTTTTAGAAAAGAAAATGAAATTTCATTGTCAACATTCATTAATACTTCGAAGATTAATTAAGATCATAATTATTCTACTGAGACTAAGGATGAAGATACACCCGGTTTATTTTTGAATAACTAAAACACGACAAAATTTCATTCAAATAATCGTCTTGCCCAGTTAACGAAGATGATGAATCATATGATTGTTTTGACGTAGCAGAGTTTGATCCTCAACTTTCACTTGAATAAGAAATTTTCTTTTGTTCTATCATCTCTTACTATTCGCACATTTTATACTTCTGAATTTTCTTTCTTCGTCGACGTCGTGTTCTACCATTTTCAAACCAACAATAGTACAGTCCAATTAGCAGTAGAACAATCGACTAAATGAACGGTCATTCATTCTTTCAAAGATTGCCATTGACGAAAGCACAACAAAGAGATATTTGCTTCAATAATTAATCGACGACGAGCTTTCTCTTATTAATTCTTCCGTCATTTTTTTATAGAACAAGAAATCGAAAAATGAGCTTATTATTGGAGCTATAAAGAAAATGTCGCTCCGACTTCGCTCTAGCTCCATTGTTCTAACGAATCGCTCCACCCCGCTCCGCTCCTGGAGCGGAGCTGTCCATCTCTGTTTTCTACTAATATAGATTTGAAACCTAGTTGAGGAAGAACTAGATTTATGATTTTATCCGGTAGAGTTCTTTTAATTTAATCTTCTAACTCGTTGTAGTTAATAGAGGTATGGGTGCCTTTTCATTAGATGCAGCTAGGTTATCTCGTACGAAATTACATGCTTGAGTTTATTGAAGTAAATACTGACATGTAATTGGCAGCGAGCGAAAATGAAGCCATTAACTTTGATAACCATCTGTTTTTATAGAGCGGAAAAATATGATATTAATGCACAGTAAAGAACAGAAATGAAAAAAAAAATGAATGTCATACTTCCTTTTTTGATGCAAGTAAAAAAGGAACAGAGAAAAATACCAAATAAATGACGGCAAAATGAAGTAATCCAAGCTAACTTTCACTTTTAACCTTTTGATGATAAGCTGCGTTTTTAAAGAGAGGACACAATGTATTATTTTACAGTAAAGAAAACGGAAGAGAAAAATGATTGTCATGCTTCCTTTTTGAGTTAGATAATAAAACTAACGAACACAAGAAAGCATTAAGCAAGTTAAGGTACAGTGTGCAACTTTAGCTAAGGCAAACTTACATAAACAATTGTGAAATAACCATTTTCTTTTCCTCACTATTATTCCTACTCATAAATCTAGCCGATGAATAAAAGCGAAAAGTATGATATTGTGATAAACTATTTTTTGAAATCACCTGAGGCATATTTTATGCATCGATATTTCAGAGAAAAAATTAACTCCACAAAATAGTAGTGTGGTAATCGAACGATCCAGTCAGATGCATTGATTCTAAATATCACTTGAACTTTACGAAAAATATTCCTAAGCAGAAAAAAACTAGATTTTTCAGGCGGAATTTGAAAAAAATCAAGGGTTTTTAAAATCATCTAGCTAAACTGTTAAATATTTGCGCTGATTCACGCTAACGCCATACATGTATTACGGAGAGAAGAACATTTCGCAAACGTTTTGTTCCATTTCGAGTTGTCGGAAATTGTGCGCAAGTTCATTACACAACACATATTTGTACAAAAGCCTTTTGCATACTAAAGAGTTTTTTGATATAACAAATATACAAAGAAGAGAGTTATTTACACGTACACAGAGTAAAAGAAGACGTTTGAGATTAAATGTAATTTTCGCAGAGAATTTGTGATCTTATGTTTTTTCTTGACAATAAAAGAGGCTTCTCATCCTTAATAGCTGCGTTTTTTTGACGAAGTTTTTTTTTCATGTTTTTTTCTGACTAACGCTGATAAGAAGAACAAAGGCTTTATATTATTAAACACGCCATAGTTCAAAATATACATATAGACCTGCTTAAATCATCAAAAAAAAACTTTCAATTTTTCACTTGATGTTCGTATGAATGCTCAGAGTGCATTGTCATCATTGAATTTGACTTACGCTTTTTCGATTGTTTTTAATATTACACCTTAGAAAATTTATTCTCATCCTAAAAGTAACTCAAAAAAAAAAATAATCCAAATAAATTATCTTGTTGTAGAATTAAGAACTATGACGAAAAAAGTGCTCATTATCCAACATTCGACTTCTGTCCCATGCGGCTATGTCACTACTTTTTTTACTGAACAGAATATTCCATTTGAAATTCTACCAATTTTTGATGACAAACATTCGATACCATTACCTGATGACATGACTAGTGATTATTCGGTAATTATCAGCCTCGGTGGTCCACAAGGAGCGTATGAAGATGAAATTTATCCATATTTAAAATGGGAAAAATCGTTTCTCGCAACCCAACTTGCACTTAATACGCCTATTCTCGGTATCTGTCTCGGTGCTCAACTTTTGGCTGATGTAATTGGTGGCCGTGCATACCAGAGCATTCGTGGCTACGAAGCTGGCTATGTTAATTATGAGCTTACACCTGAAGGAAAAAATGATCCTATTCTATCGACCATATTCGAAGCAGAACAACATAAACCAATGCTAATCATGCATCACGGTGATACATTCGATCTACCAGTAAATGTGCCTGTTTTAGCGCGTACATCAAACGATTATACAGCTGCATATCGAGTAGGTTCAGCATTTTGCGTACAATTTCATCCAGAAATGTCTACTCGCGAATTTAATGAATCGGTACAACGAGCCCGAAGAAATCGACCAAAAATATATCAACATGTCGATATCGATGAAATTCTACATCACGCAGAAGCAAATGAATCACGTGCAGAACAGTCAAGACGATTCTTTTTTCAAACTTGGTGGAATTCAATACAAAAACAAGTTTAAATGAACTTTCGAAAATATTATGATAATTATAACAATAAGAAGAATTATACGCAAGTCATCAATAAATTGATTCTAATTTTTTTCTGCAAACTTCTTTGTTATTTTCATTAATTGAAGAATGAATCAGAATCATAAATCCACACCCGTAATTAAACAATCTCCCGAAATGCTCTCCATTCGATTGAGGAAATCTTTTTCTACACACTCACATATATCCTGTTTTTGAGTCAAATCTGTATAGTCGCCTTCTTCCAAACTTCACATATGTCGTATGATAAGCTGGCACAAAAGTATCAAAAATTAAGTATTTCAGTAAACACCTACTTTTTGCCTCATGATGCCCATCGAAAAGTCATCATTTGACAGAGAATCAAATTCTGCATTTGCTTCCTAACTTTGTTAGGCCTATCTACTGTAAAAATATCAGCCAAATCAATGATATCGATTAAGCAACAGTGGTCGTGGCTTATGCGCAATGCCTCATAGAGATACCTATGGATTCTTCATTAGGTTCAGTAGTAACCTCTTAGAAATTCTGTAGAGAACTTTGCAGTTTGTTCAAGATTCTATATTCAGAATCATTTCGAATATAGCTACGATAAAATCAATGCCATCTGATGATAAAATTTCAGAAAAGTCGAAATCAGACCATGGCAGACTGGACTCATTCACTCAACGTTAGCCGTAACAAGATTGAAAGGTCTCTTGAGAGCGATGCTGATCAGGATAAGAATATCAAACCAAGGAACCAAATTTTGATCAGCACTTCGATTTCAGGCTCTGTTGGTAACACTGGAGCTCTCTTAAATCATTATTTTGGCTTGTTCACATAACGCGACACTTCGCTGATCAAGTTTTGAAAAATTTTTTTTCGAGTTGGACAGATCTTAGTGTGGCATTAGATGCAGCTTTTTACGCTAATTACGAATTTGTTATTGATTTTGTTCAAAAATCATGTTTTGATACAGAAAACCGGATTTTAAAGTTTTAAAAAACCGTAATTCGAATTTTTTAACCAAGAAATTTTTTCAATAAATGCCAAGAGACATACCATTCGATGCAGAATTAAATTCTCTACAAAATGGTCTATTTAGTTTTGACTTTGGTAGCTTAGAACAAATTGGAGTCTTCTATACAATTTCCAACTTCCTGCTCAGTTTATGAGCGCTCAGATCTATGTATGAATCTCATTTTTGCACAGGGGGTTGTCTACATAGAAAACAGTAACACTTATAAAAATCAAATCATTCTGAGTTGATTAAGTGCCTCAAAATTGGTCAACAAAAAACTGTGTAACAGCGTTACGTTTGTTTTTTGCATTCTTTATCTGAACAAAAATGCTGTAGAGAAAATCTATTTTACTGCCTGAAAGCCTATTCAATGCTCTACAAAACTGACTGTCGGAGGATTACATTTAAAGAAATAGTGTCGCAAGAAATTAGAGTTTTCTTGACGACACTGGAAAAAGGGTCATTTTATGTAACAGCGTTATGCCATATTAAAACCTTTCTAGATGTATGAGACCTCAGTCAAAAAAGGTCATTTTTATATGATAAGTGAGGTTTGATAAACTGCGTCAAATGACGTTTGAACGAACTTCCTAGCTTTTAAAGCTTTCGAGACAATTGAAGAAGAGTGTGTCAAAGACGTAACAGGGTTACGTTTGGACAAGCCGATTTATTATCGAGAAAAAATGAATTTTTAAAGAGCAAGAATTCAGATCAATGGATGACTTTCATTTTCTTCTTCAAAAGATTACTCAAGCTGTTTTTCGATTTAAGTACTTAACCTTAAAGAATAATTGGTAGTTCTTATTGTTGGATATTCGCAAAGTTTTCTCGAGCATCATTTTGCCAAGCACTAAGAAATTTATCTTTTAAGTCATTTTTAATTTGAAATGCAACTTCGACTCCGTTTCGATCTCGTGGCAACCATTCGGTACCATTTTTCATTGGATTTTGACGAAATACACGGATGTATAATGGACCGGTCCATACTGTGTGAAGGCGGCATTTGTTTGTGTAACCAAAATCGACGAGACCTACCCAATCGTATCTCAAATTAGAATTTATTACCACTTCGTTAGGAAATTGGTTCCAGTTTGCCGGCTTTTTTTCAGCTGCTATTTTTCTCATTAAACTATCAGCAGTGGCCAGCCAACGCTCCAGAAATTTGGGGTCACATGATCGGATAATCGAACGGCGAATTGCTTTGGCAATACTTCTTAAACACAACGGATTATGAAAAGCTTGTCAGCGCAGCTCCTTTGGAGCTGAAATGTGGAACTCACGTATATCCTTTCAATTTGTTATTCTAATGCATTATTTGTAAACTGAAAATCTTTTTTACAAATAATTATGAATGCATTAGAATACTGTATAGAATCTGAAGCCTTTTGTGCGCGGTTGCTGAGGTCTGTAATGGTGGTCTGTCTGTAATGGGAGGGGGGGCTGTCTGTAATGGTGGCCTGTCTGTAATGGGGGGGGGGGGGGGTGTCTGTAATGGTGGCGGTCTGTAATGGGGGGATGTCTGTAATGTTCTCTTTCCCGTTGCTATGTGTTTGTAATGGGGGTGGTGGGGGGAGAAAGGAGCCGTCAAACTTCGAACTGAAAACTTACATTCACTATTTTCTTTGAAAATATACGTGAGTTCCACAAAATCATCCGATAGCATCCTGAATATAGCATTAGAAACATGTTCATTTGAAGCAATAGAGTCAGAAACACCACGACAGTTGACGATTGTGTTCGTGCGTAGGATGCGACGGTGATCATCATTTTTATAACAGTGAGTGTTTAACGTAAGAATGATGTAAGCCGAAAGTGAATCTTGAATGGTTACATTACTCCCACCAGCTAATTCACGTAATTTGGTTAATTGTTCGCCTGAAAAACACAGATTTACTTGCTGATGCGTAGTTTGCCAAGTTCTAAGAAGAGGAAATGTGTCTTGTAACGGTCCAGCATGACTCAAATGTTTCATCATAGGCAGAAGGGATTGATCCGCTTCTTCTTCGTGCTACATACGTCGATCCAATAGAGGCAATGATTCGAGAGGTTTCAAGTGTTGGTAAAAACATGAAATTGTATTTAAAAATTTTAACAAAGCAGCAGCATCGCCCAATACATGGGACCAGCTCACCCCCAAAATCCATTCACCACTTTGTGAAATACTTGTCAATTTGAAAAGAACGAGAGGCTGATCTTGAGATAGAAACTAGCTTTGTAACTTGTATTCCATCGATAAATGGTACAAGTAAATTTTCATGTAGTTCAGTAATGATGTTTACATTGGCAGGCCAAGCAACCAACTCACCATTGTCAGTATAAGTAATCGGAATCGCATCGTCTGTCATTTCGATGAAATAATGGCCATCACCGACTGAAATAAAACGACCGGCAACGAGGGGCCATAAGGAAAGTGTATGGCAAAGGGCATCTTTGAATCGGTTAATCTCCAAACGAGATGGATATTCAAATACTTTATCGACGCTTATTAAAGCCAACAGATCAAGTTCAGCAAGTTCAACTCGACAGTACTGCCCTGTTGCTGACGATGAAGGAACGAGCCAAGAAGCCATATTCCAATCTATCATTAGAGATTCATCGTCATAAGAATGCAAAACTGATAGATGATGAAGAAGAAGCTATTAGACTTGTGCAGATTTAAGCTTGCTTTGTTTTTAGGAACAACCCTATCTCAAACAGTACGTCAAAACTTCATAGAAAGCAGTTTTCTGGAATGATGAGAGACTGGAAAAAACCTCGTCATCGTCCATCGGCACCGGATTATAACATGATTTTTATAACAGAAGAGTAGATAAAATTTCTTGAGGAAGTGATTTTCCGCTTCTAAATGTTTTAATGCTCACGAAAGTCACTTATTCAACATGCAATCCTTGTTCATTTGACTCTACGACATATACACGGTGGAAAACCAAAATTAAGCGATATCAATTACTCGAATTTCATAAAACGTTGATCAATATCATGCATATTCTCACCAGCTTTAAATTTGAGAAGTTCATCAGGTGATGTTCAAAAAATTACCCATAGTGATGTACACAAACATTCATTTTTATCTCTTCTGTCGATGTTGTGTCTCTCCTAAGTGTATGACAGCTCCAGCTCAGTTTGCTAAATGAAACCTGTAGCTATTCACCAACTCAGCTTCAATAAATCCGTATGAACTCGTAAGGGTTATCTTCCCATACCAGAACACGTGTTCTGTTTTTGGGAATCGCATTTTAGGCTTTAAAAACCGTTGTTCTATTACTGAATTATATTGTAACAACAGTAACGACTTCGCACAAGCCTCAGCTTCTAGTAGCTGAACTGATGAACAACAGTTTCAACTCTCGGAAGCTAGAACTGTTAGACACCTACTGTATAGACATTTTTCACGTTATTATGAATTTCCTTCTAATATTGGGTATTTTAATATTTATGAAAATCATTAGCAGAGATGAGCACCGGACAAACTTTTCTGTCCTGCCGCCAATCCTCGTCCTATTGGGCGGCAGGGCAGCACGAAAAATGACGTGCTGTCCTGTCCTGCCAAACAGGACAGAACAGGACACAGAACGGTCGTACCGGCCTGTTCTGTGCTCATCTCTGATCATTAGTTTCATTATGCTTCATATTTTGACTTTTAAGAGAAGGTCCGCGACAGGACCACCCTAGGTCGCCGGGGAAAATTTTTTTTTTCGATTTTATTTCCTTAAACGATAGGCCTAAGTAATCTATAGTTAAATCCAATATATTAGCTCATTTGGTTTTATCTATGAAAAATGCGAGCTAAAACAAGTTTAAGGGGATCAAAATTGACCCTAAAAATCCGCTAAAAATGGGTATGCTCAGTATTTTGATATTTTCTCATGACTGGTTTGACCGTTTGAGATCGGGTACATCTCATTATATAGGAAATATTATAGGCTACAAAGGACGGTGGATGTTTTACGTGCATTTCGGCCCACCAAGAAAATGAAGGTAGATTTACCA